TTTCTTTGAAAAGTTTATTCGGTCACGAGTTTGAAATCAATTAAAATTTTGTTTGAAAGTTGTAGATGAGACGTTTTTGGAATATGTTTGCGCTACTTCAACAAACAGTAGGAGAAAAAAAAGAAGAACTTTGATGAAGGGCATGTACAAATTTATTCCTGTATAGGAATAGAGGCGAAACAGGCTTAATAGTAACCCTTTATTTTTTATTCATTATCTGTTGCCGTTCTTTTCAAATGGGTATTTTGCACTAATGAAACATTGATCTTATTTCAAAACCCCAGTCAATACTGCGGAAACGGTAATCACCACCTACCATGAAAATTTGTTGAATTGATTTATATCTATAGATTATTCAGGTAATTCGTGAGGACTTTTTTCAACGCCCGTCTTAGATTTTCAATTTTTACGGATTCTCACTAATGCGGTTAATTGGCGAACACAATGACATTTTGATGCTATTTTGGTATAATTTTCATGTTTCCATATCTGCTTACGATATATTTGGTAACTTTGTCCATGTCATATAGGTTCTCTAGTTTGATTATTATTATTATTATTTTTATTATTATGTTTTTCTCATCTTTACGTTTAGAGGTGCATTTCACATAATTTGTGTGCTCCTTTTTGGTTTCCTTTGCTTTCGTCAGAATTCTATTTACTGTGAGTTTTGCTCATTCAAGTGTTTGCGTCAACGGTCATGTTGGAATCTCGCCTTTTAGTATTCAAAGTGACTTATGCATTGTGCACGTGCAAATTTTTCGATTTTACCTTAGCAAAACAACGAGTTGAGCATACGCGTAACCATTTCAAGCTCAATAGCTAGTCATTAGTGCTTCAATGTTTACTTTTCCATCCACTCTCTTTTGCCATTTCAGATACCTGCTTTCCACGTCTACAGCAAAGTGGTACTTGTATGCTTAATGAGACCATGATGGCTTGCCAATGGGAGAGTAGGAGAGGAAAAAAGGGAAACGAGAAAAAAAGATAAGGCCACTTCAAAGCCTGCTTCATTTTCGTCCGATTAGTTCCCAGCGCGGAAACGAGAGGAATGTCTTGTTTTCACTCCAGAGTACTTTTAAAGATTTTAAAAAAAATTTTTCGGGGCCTTTGCTATCGCTGCGCTTTTCAAAATTCCTCATGAGCCCCAAATTTCAAAAAAACATTCCAATTTTTCTTGAAGTGAAGTGTTGTAGCCACATTACCTCATTTAAACAAACATTATTTGCTTTTTGAAGGTAAGCAGGTTTTTGATTGGGTGATTATTGAGTTCAGAATAGATCTGAATATTGAGCTCAGGATCTACAATCAACAAAAATTTTTGTTCAAATTCGATTGTCTGGCACGTTTCAAAATCTTCTCAGTTTTATGATATTTCGCTTATATCTGAAGCAATTCAGTCTATGTTTTCGTATGACAACAATTTTTTTCTCTGTTCTCGAGTAGAGCTGCCATTCCCTTTTCCTCAGTAAAAATTCTCCATAAGGCACCTACTTTCAGGCAATTTAGAACTCCGGTCTTAAATTATGGAAGCCACAAGCTTGATCGTTCAAAAAAAAATTTAAAATCAAAAAATGATTCTGAAAAAGCTGGGGTGACGGTGTAAAATTGCGACTGAATTGTACAGGAAATATTTTCTGGAATCAACGGGTTGTCTAGCACATTACATCACCAGGTTATTTTAAACTAATTCATAACTTTTTCTCGGTGACGCAGTTTACAGTCAAATCAAATCATATTTTTTCCTGTTGCTGCTGTTTATGTTTGTTAGCGGACTACAAAATGATGACGCAAGCGATGTTACTCATCTAGACAGGTTCTCAGCTATAGGCCATCATCTGGTTTCATAGTGTAATAGCGTTGTGTAAAAGTAGCATTATAGAGGCAAAACCGCTTATAATTTGTTATATGCAGATGTCACTAAGCTTACACTACCTTTGTTAAGGGGTGGAAGGGGGGGGGGAGTAAAGGCTGGTTTTGGGAGTGAGTGGGTGCGCTATAGGCCACACTAAGCTCGTCATTTGACATTGAACCTTTAGCGAGAGTTCATACTTCAGTTCTCAAAACGTTCTTTGTTTATAGCACTTCCATCCAGTCGTCTCTCTTTTTAAAGGCAGCCTCCACCCAGAATTTTGCCTTCCATCATTTTATCATTCTGAGGCCTGTCTCTGGCCCTGATTGCGTTATGAAGTTCAAATGTGCAAAACCTTCAGAAAACCCAATTTCTAGGAGATTTATTCCGAAGACCCAGACGGCCTGTAGTGGGTGGAGCTTATAAGATCTGGGCGTGGCTCAGATCTTGACAGTACTTTCGCTGTTCCAGGTCCATTACCTCCACTCAGAGACAACATTAGAGCAACGGACAAACGCAGATGCTTTTCTCCTGGGCCCGTAGTAAACCTCTCCTGGTTGTCACAACATAGAGGGACTATGTCGTGATAGCTCGAAGTATCTCGCAAGACTATAGCGAGCTATCCGCAGGGCGCCGCAAAACTAACGCATAAACGCGTGATCGAACCATTGATAATCGGAACAACAGCGCCCACAGCAACTGCACTATGCATAGGCAATTTTGAAGGTGTACCAGAAAGGGAAGGGCCTGGAGCAGACAGAGCAGCGTAGGTAATTTAGTATGACCAAAATGGTGCTTTGTCTGCCTCGCTCCACGGTAATCAGGACATGTCACAGCAGACTCCGAGCTATACGTCACGACATCCAGGGGGTTTACTACGGGCTCTGGGGCCTGCAATTAGGACAGGTGCTGATCGGAAGGGTCTAGATTTAGCCTGAACACTACCTTCAACGTAGCCATTCGTAAAACGGGAGCCCATCCTGAAATAAGACAGATTTGACATAAAGGACGTAATTTTCTAATATATTCTAGTTGATTGGACTTATTCATAAGAATGAATTGAGCAACCCTAACTTTTCTAGCTTCAAAATTCGTGATTGTTTATTACAGCCAAAGGGAAAATCATGCATCTAAGGTGTTTGAGCATATTCTTCCTTATCACGGAAAAGCAAGCTGATCTTTGGAAACGATAAAATCGTATTTTTTTTCATATTTTGGTTGCTAAAAATGTCGATTCAAAAAGGTCAAAGAAAATTTGATTTCACTTTTGGATGCGAACGATTTTCATTTATGACAGAATAATTTGTATCAATCGATTATACATTTACGATTTGTTATAATTTTCGGATTTTTTTTGGTATTTTGATTAAGTACTTATGAAATTGATTAGTTTGCAACACAAGTCCCGCAACAAAATTTCAAAAAATTCATCTGAAAATGCTCATAGCAGCGTAACGTTAGTTTTTTCCTTGTGCATGATTTTTGGAATATCTTATCGTGTACTTTAGAAATTTTATTTCAAACAATATCACAACTTAAGCGTAAAAATTCGATGGTTATAACTTCTTATGTAGACAATGTAATGTTCTTATGTATGCAATTCTTATGTAGACATCCTATCAGCGCAAACTTATCTCATTTGGAATGCTTGGATTGCGAAACTCACATAAAAAATGAGTTTAGAAATTTCTGGGCCCTTCACGTTTTTTGAGAATTAGAAGTTGGAAAAACGCAATTTAAGTGTTTGCATTCAACAGATTACCGTAATATGACAATGCTGATTTTTGCCTTGAAATATTCAGAAGGAGTAAGACTTTCTCTTTTTGAATTATAGTGATTTGAAAGATGCATCAGAGCTGGAGGAGATTACGAGATTGTAAGAAATTTTGGTACAAGACTTTCGTTCCCTATTTCAATCCTCAAAAAATTATAATTCAAAGCGTTGCTCTGGCCAATCATTATACAAGTAATACTTTCTATATTTTTTGATGGTGCAAGACTTGTGGCCCAATCTAATAAAATTGAGATTTCATTGTGTCCTCCTGACCACTCTAGGAAAGTTTGAACTTCGGTTCCATTGTTTATTCATCTGTTCAATCAATAACTGATATTCGTACATCATTACTCTACAGGATCTGCCAAAATACTGGAACCAAACAAAATTAAACTTTTTTGAACAAAGGTAAATGTGTGCAGTCAAAATTTGCTACCTAGTATTTTCCTGTCTTCGAAGCAGCAGAAAGAATATATAGAAAGACTTCTGATAGTTTGGGATGTCACTGATCGATTCTGCTCTCAAGCTAAAGCTCAGTAGAACCGTTCATTCTTACCGTAAATTCATTCATAAGCACAAGATTGTTTATAGCTACATACTTAGTTTCCCTTCCCATCGAAAAACCCGTTCGTTTCGTCATCTGTCGTGTTCTATCGTTCCCGTAGTGAAGGTGGATTGCCATTGAGAACGAGCTTCGAGTGAGATGCTATCGCTCCGACACTTTTATTTTGTAACAAAAAGCCAGTCGTAACCTTTGCGTATGAACCAGACGTAAGAAAAAGTGAAATCGACGGAGTTCACGTCGATTTATGGTGGTAGGTAGGGTCAAGGAAATTTTCTCTGAATGCTAAGGAATACAACTTGGAAACTTTATTGTCCTTACCTGGTCAAAGAATTTTCTGTAGCTTTTAGATCTTTTGGGCTACGGCCCGGTTTTTCTCCTCTTCTCCAGACCAACATCAAATAAGAGGCATTTTTTGGTGCCAATCTCAAGTTTGATTGCGAGAGCTGGTCTTTAGCCCTATTCAAGCTTTGATGAACTTACGCATATTAAGTATGATTTAGTGTTTTGGGACATAGAAATTTCAATCCAAATTTTCCATCCCAAAATAAATCCCATGAATATCCGATCCTACTAAATATTCTTCAATGTAACGACTTTAATAGCTCGTGCTGCGACGCTCGCTACTTTTCCGGAACAAGTCCATGTTTTCTTTTTCTGCCATGAAATCACTGCCAATTTGTTGTTGAAGCACCCATTGCAGAATGAATCCTGTTTTCCCTCAATTCTTACTCCTTGACTCACTCATGTCACCATCGATTTCTTCGCCTTTGTTTTGTTGTTCTGCAAACTCTTTTCAACAAATCTTAATTTTAGACCAAAATGCATAATCTCATAGTTCCTGAGCCATTCTCGGATGATATCCTGGAAAAAGCAAAGAAAATGAGGTTTTTATCAATTTTTTTGCACCAATATTTTTTGTCTGTATCATTTCTCACTTCAGATCTACTCTACCTCTCCCAGCATGCCTCGATTCGCCTTTCTTTCTAGCTCGATTTCTAAAAGGTCATGGTGGCGACGAAAAAATTGCCAGACAACGGGTTGAAGAATATCTTACCCACAGGTGAGTCTTTTCAGAGCCACAGGCATCTCCTTATAAAACAGATTCCGTTTGGTAGAACAACCCGAAACGCCTGGCTAACTAGTTTAACTAATTTTTCTTCTAGACAGACCTTGGGCTACGCAGATCTGTCTGATATGGAGATTCTCACAGAGTTTCCCATTGGAAGGGAAACATACAAGGTGAGTTACAAGTTTCTGGAAGAAACGGGTGGAGGAACGAACGCCTCAATTTGGCACCGCCTCCGCGGACTACTGGTCCCAACACGATGTACAACAGTAAGACGAAAGGACCAGCAGCCCGCAGAAGCGGCGCCTAATTGAGGCGTTCGTACCTCTACCCGGAAGAAACTTCCAAAAAGCGACGGATAACGCGCAACATCTCTCCTTTCGTCTGAGTACACCGCTACCGATTTACTGCAGCCATTTTGAAGAACTAACAAGGTAATAATCAGAAGTCGAAGTGGCCAATCCAAGCAAGCTGCATACTTTTTGATGCAGCATTCAACGTTGATTTCGAGGCTGTCTTCCACATCTGCTTAGCGCCTTTGTGGACGAGGTCATGAGCAGTTTTATTGCAAAAAAAATGGTACATAAAAAGTTGCGGAGGAGCTCACTTTTGCAATTTCAGCTCACCTTTAGACTTTAAGGATTTAAAGCAACCTAGCTGCATGTTTTAGTCCAGTTATAAAGGCAGCGTCCAGGCAAATCTGGACTATTTGGCTCTTACATGGATAGTAATATTGGGGATTGGGGCCCTAATTAAGGCACTGCCCAAGCGGCAGTGCATATGATGACTCACTAACGGCTGAGTTATGCGCCTCCAAACTAGACCCCGAGATCGTATTTCGCATGGGTTCATGGCGCAGCCCATGGGACCTCGCGCGAAATTATGGGTTGCGCCATGAATCCATGCGAAATACGATCCCGGGATCCAATTTCGAGGCGAATATCTCAGCCGTTAGAGCACTACCTGAGCTGGCACTTGGGCAGTGGCTTAGTTAGGGCCCCAAAATATTACGATCCACGTGAGAGCCTCACATGCCCAGATTTGCGTGGACGCTGCCCTTAAGCCGAACATGGTTTTGCACTGCCAAATTTGCGCTTTGCATGCACGCTTTTTAAGAAGAATAACGGACTTCAACGGCTCATAACTTCGCCTTTATCGGTGCTAGGCAGACATGAAATTGTGCGCAGTTTTTTCTTACTCCCTCTGGGGTCGCGCTTGTATAAGGACTGCTTTCCGCAGCTGCCTCTACATTTTTTCAAAGCAATTTCTACTCTACCCCAAATTTTCGCGAGTACTTGATTCTGTCAATCCACTTCATTGTGGGTCACCTCTTTGTCTTTTGCCTGCGCATTCCCGAGGCTGACCTCATGATGTAACTTTTCTCGTTACTGCGCTTATGCCGTACCATAGTAATCTCTTTTCTCGCAGTTTCTGGGCAGTTGGAGCTACTTTTTTCGGCTCTTATGAAGTCATGGCATATATTGTCCAAGTTCGACTCCCGATCAGTCTCGGCATGTTGCAGATGCTTGTTGTGGCTTGTTTAACTAGACACCGGGATTGGTATATCCTTCATTCGACTAACGTTTCAGCGGTTTCGCCTTTCCATAGTCTGAAATTATCGTATGCATAAATGAACTATCCTATCAAAAACTGCCTCAAGTCTTAGGAAGACGCCCAATGCGTCAGTGAATCAAGAACTAGAAAGTGAATGCGGGATTGGATTATGGCATATATGTTCTTTAATTGTGACACCCATAGTCCCTCAAATCGTCTTTATTTTCATGACGATAAGCTTGCTTCCCTCGTTCCGCGTACATGAAAACACTTCCGTAGAACAGTGTTGGATGAAGGATGGGTATCTGTCTCAACTGGGACTTGAGCTCACTGGCATTCGTCTTTCGCACAGAACTTCCGTTGAGGTTCCTCATTTTATCCACCCGATGTTAATATGGCTGGGTTTTCTCCTTCATAGGCCTTCCTACAAACTAAAATGTAACTGGCTAAATACGTGTATACGTTGTCTTATTTAGCTTTCGCATTTGACGCTTGCGCTTCCTGGAGTTATTTTCCCACTCCGTATAATCTGTTCTTAGTGCTGAAGTTGAAGCCATATAACTCTAACTTGTTCTTGCAACTTTGCGCCTTACTTCTAGTGCTTTCTGCCACTGGTTATCAAAAACTCATCATCAGCATAGAGAAGTGTCTAACAAGGGAAGGATACTCGGTCGAAGTGGCTTTTCCACATGAAATGTATACTATCTTATAAAGCATTATTCTGCTTTCTATATCTGCAAATTGCTTCCGGGAGATAAGTTACGGCAACTTTTGGGGCAAAAATTTGAACCCGCAGTTACAATAAAATCATGCGGAACTCCAGTCTGTGAGCTCAAACTAGGCCACGATTACTGCCAGGACGCTTCGTGCAATAAATACTTTCCATCTAGAACACTTAGCTAGTCATTACTCTTTTCAAACCTCGAAAAATCATCTACACTTGTTTTTACCTTGGCCGAACCATTGAATTTTCCCCTCAAAAAATTCCCATAACTTCCCTCCCAGAAGCGCTTTGCAGATAACAAAAAAACAGATTAGTAATTAGCGTTTTTTGCTCTATAAGACCATGTACATTTATATGAAAGCTTCACTTCGACCAAGTATCCTTCCTTGTAAGGAAACTCTTGGGGGCTCCAGGGGTTCATAATTGTGATGAGAGTGGCAGAGGAAGGAATAAACCTTAGTGTACTCTAACTTGATTTGGGCCACTTTTGATCGTCCTGCAGCTGCTTGCACGTGACTTGAAGCTTTATGGTAAAGCAACTTGATATTGTAAGATATGAATAGCTTGTTTCACAGTAGAATTAGGCGTCAGATGCAAACTGCTTAAACAGATCAATACTTAGCTGCTAGCCGTAAACCTCACACCGTACTAGAATTTTGTCAGAAATGCTATAAATGGTAATTTATTTTTTCATATTACCATATTACGGGACTACCACTTTTTGTAAGATGTCGTTGTTCTTGTGTTCTGTAAGAAAAACAATTCTTTTCAGCGGTTCTGCATATCTCAAGTAGCACATTCTATTCGCTCCGGTGATGTGCATGTTTTCATACAGAAAATGGAAGGAACTGATTTGAAAGAGGTAAGCACTCAGGTCTTTACATCAATCGATGTATTGATTATGTTTGGGTGTCAGAAAATAACATGAGAACACGTGTTCATTTTCAGATAATGAAAGCTATCCCCTTGTCAAACGTGCTACATTCCTATTTCATGCTGCAAGAGATGTTTGGCAGAGCTGTAACTGAAACCGAACGAAAAACTGGCAAGTCTACTATAGGAAGATTGAAGTCATGAGTAGATGGAGAAATGTGTTAAAGGGAGACCCTCTTCGGTGGTGACAATATTGGATTTGAAAGGACTGAACTTGGCCGAGTTCCTTAACCCGCTCTCAGCTCCGGTGCAGTTGGCTCGCCTTGTAGTAAAGATCTGGTCGGAATACTTCAGTGAGAATGTGCGTCTCTTCTTCTGCTTCTTTGGAAGTAAACGAGATCATGTATTTAGATGTGCAAATTACTCCTTATAAATCCTCCTGGAATAGTTTCACTTATGTTCAAGGTATTAATAACTAAAGCATGTAACGAAAGTCCCCAAAGTTTATCAATGCAGATCTCAAAATTCATCATGGATTCACGAACAGCCAGCAAGTTAGCAATCCTCAACGATCTCTCAGAACTCCACGAATACCTCGAACCACAGGTATGTCATTCTTTTGGGTAACGTTTACTACTAGTTGTTTACTCATTCATCTACTCATTCAGGCAATTTCCATAGAATACGGAGGGACTTGGCGAGATGATTCGGGCTATGCTCAACCTCCCGAAGGTTGCACAAGACCTCTTCAGCCCGTACTGAGCTGCGAGCACCGAGGAGTAAGTTGCAAATGTTAATGCAAACTCGGGCGTAACAAATTATACAGTGGCGGGAGGGGGGAGGGAGGGGAGGGAGGGAGGGCAGCACAATTTCAAAAACTAATGGAAAGATTTTTGGAAGTAGCTTGAAGGCTACTGCAGGAAGAAGGCGCAGAAGCAGTAATAGTCGAGCGGGCCGAACGCGGCGCGCGAGTGTCTTTACCGTTCTAAAACCTGCGCCTCATGCACTCTGCTGTTAATGGGACCGCGTTCGCGCCCAAATATTGCGCCTTCTTCATGCAACAGCCTATACATAAGATATAAAAACTGGTTTGTTTTCATTAACAACATACATGTTTCTATGAATTTTCGAATCAAGCTCACTGAATTAATAAGAATACTAATCAAGACGCTGAAAAGCCGCTCTTTTCCTTCCAAAAGAATTTTATTTTTCCTTGCTAAAAAATCGAGCGTTACCGCACTGTAATTATGTAAGTTAGTGAACAAGTAGCATATAGAAAATGTGACAAAAACAGAGACTTATCTTCTATAATTGTAAGGTGCTTTTACCCCTTCCCTTCTCTTCCTCTCCCCTCATTTAAGATCGCTGCAGGTCTACTCAGTGAAGGAATAGTATCAATTTCTGTATCAACTTTTTTCTTTAGGCTGATGATATCTGGACCGACAATGGTATACTAAAACCACCTTCCAGCAGGACTTACAATATCAAAAGTCATCAAGAATGTGAAATTGTGAAGTGAGAAGACATTTGCTTGTGAATTTAAACTCTATATGCTGCTCAATCTTCCTTGTCTAGAAAGTGTGGTCAACCCGGAGTTTTGATATGGAATTACACCATCGGAGGTGACGTCGAATTTGAAATAGTACGGCGAGAATCTGGAAAGGAAAGTCAAGTTTGGCCAAAGGTTACATTGACAAGTTTGAAGGTAAGACCAGAGAAACGGGTGAATTTTTTCGCGTAATCTGCTTTGATGCAATTCTGCTATTCCAGATTCCAGAATGTGGGAGCGTTGCTGCATATCCTGGAGAGTATGTAATTCGAATAAGAAATCCTTCAAACACATGGTTCCCAGTGAAAATAACGGGAGCAGCAGATTTTAAAGCAGAGTGATTATCTGTAATATGACTTTTTTGTATGTCTTGTTCAATCTAAATTTACTTCAATCAAAAATCTGTTTCGAGAGAGATTCTTCAATCCTTCGATTCTCTTGTATATATGATTCAAGGATATTATCTCATTTGGTGGTATGAGAGATTTAACGTTGTGATAAGCTAGCTCTATTCGGATCAATGTTATGTAAAAATTGCTTGTGTGATTATATTGTTGTATAAATGCAAAGAAGACTATGAGAACCCCTAATCTTATTCAGTCTTCACACTTTGATCCAGTGCTCAAGACTTCCACGTAAGAAACCAGGGAGGCTATTAGTCATAACCAGACATTGATGGGAATAAGCACCTTTAATCTGAGTCTGTTCTTCGAACAAACTTGAAAACGAACTTGTCTCTTCATTACGCACCGCGGCCATGCGCAGAACGAATTACAGCACAGTAGGGCCTATAGTAATCCTCTCAAAGTCGTCCCAACGGAAAAAAGGCGCGGTAGTGACCGCACAAAACGAGTAACAACTCGGGCACGACGGTACATTGGCGGCCCTCCGCATAAACCTCTCCGATCGGCCGAAGCCGAACTCGCAATGAGCGACGTGAAGCGCGCGCACATTCTGCCCTATAAACAGTGGTTTTGTCGGAACACTGAGCAAGAGAAAGGTGCATAGGGTAGATGGATAGGCTCTCAAGCCAATATGTTGAAATTACTAAGCAGCCTCAGGGTTGTTTCATACTTCCGCAGCAAATTGCAGTAGACTGCAGCAGACTGCACTGACCGCAAGGCCGCACAGATCGCTCCTTTCATAAAAAAGAAAACAATTAGAGGTCAAAACGCCATGATTTACGCCTAGAAAGTTCATAGATTCTAACTTACTCTTCTCAATCACATCTTGGCGATTATCCCTCTATGGTATGCAGCTATTCGTTCTGATTTCTCCTGTCGTTGCTTATACCTGTTTTAGTCTCGCTCGTGTTGTCTTTTGGGGCATATATTGCTGTTGACTATTTGGGCTACAACTATTTACCCTCTTTACCTTTACGAAAGGATGCAGCGATCTGTGCGGCCTGCTGTCAGTGCGGTCAGCTACAGTCAGCTGCGGTCTGCTGCATTCTGCTGCGGTCAGTGCGACAGTCTGAAACAACCCTCATTAAAGTCGAGTCTCGCTTGAATAATACAGCTATCACTTTGCAATTGTAAACCCTATTGCGATACCTGGAAAGGAATTGTCACTGTAAATAGTGCAGTACTGTGTCGTACGCTTCTGAGGTAGACGTCTGTAGCAAGTTACATTCACAGCAAACATGTATGCTGATCAAATTCGACTTACGTTGTCTAGGTTCCGAAGCAAATATCAGAAGAAATAATAACAGTGAATGAGATGAGCTGTGCGTCTCGCAACTGTGCGCTGTCAGCTGTTTGATTTGGCGCCAGTTTTGATTCTTTGCGTGCATCTACAGACAGCGGACAACACCACCACTCCGGACGTACTCGACCGTTACTCGCTTGTCGGCACCACAGTCTCTCTGCGTCTCCAAACAAGACCCACTATTTTTCGACTGTCTGCATGACGGCATGCTGGTGCTGCCTTGTCGCGCCGGCCGTGTGGCAGCGGCGTCACGTCGGGCATCATATGACTTCGTCTCGTCGCCTATCACTCATCATGAGGTGGCAACAAAAATAAGACAGGCATTTCCCTCACTCTGAGAGAGTCGTCAGGACCCAACGGGGGTTTACTACAGGCCTAGAGGACGTTATCGAGCGCGCGTAAATATTGTCTAGCTGACATACTTGCGCAGGCCACGATTTCGTTTTGCTCAAAGACCGATGACGCGCCGGATGCTCTCTTCCTATCTGCTTCCAATTTTCTTCCCACGTTTCACATTCTGTTGTCTTTGTGACCCGCTCTCCCATCCCATCCACTTCGCTCCATAGGTTAATCCTATGCTGCACAAGCGATCTTTACCAGCCTAAACGGCATCCGCACACAAAACCAAGGAAATGACATGCTAGTTACGTTATTCTTATTTAAATTTTGATGATTTTATAATTATGTAAAAGAGAAAGGTAAAGCTAATCTCTTTTGTGAGGAGAATGCGAAGTTGCGCAGAAGCAGCCAGACAGTAAGAACCATAATAAATGCTGCAGCACAGCTTGAAGCAGAGGCAGGAAGAGGATGCAGTGCAAGGATAAAAGCAGAAGGAAAACAGAAGGTAGGTCTTGAAATTCTTCGAACAAAATGAAATGACTTACACTCTGCCTACTTGAACATCTATGAAAGACTTGGGGGTTCTGGTAGATAGTGGACTGAAAATTGAATCACAAATTTCTGCCGTGCATACACGAACTTTTTCTATTATGTACACGATATTTCGCAATACTAAGGTGAAAGACGTAAAGGTTCTATTGAGGCTTTATAAAGCCTTAGTGATCCCTGTGCTAGAATATGCGAGCCATTTGTGGTGCCCCTCTTTGAGTAAGCACAAACGAAGTTTGGAAAGCGTTCAGAAATTAATTGGAAATGTAATTGAAAACATGATCCGAACAGCCAAAATGGTGTCATCTGACGGCATACTAAAGGCTGTGTCAGTCAAGAAAGCACTCCAAATCGCTGAAGCTAACGGATATCATTCCAGAAGAGTACATCGCGTCATCAGACTGCATAAAAACCCTAGCGATAAAGTGTCATTCTGTTTCCCTTTCATTTCAGATACATTGAGCAGCGCGATTAGAAAATGTGTTCGAAAAGCTGGGTTGCAAGATTCATTGCGGCTTGTCGAAATACCCCCTCCAAACCTTAAACGGCGCTTGGTACGAAATAGAGCAAATGATAAAGCTTGCACAGAAACGGATTGCTTGATACGCCACGAATAAACAAGGCGATTGCATGTGCTCGGGCGTGATTTACCTTTTGAAGTGTAAAGCATGTGGCGATGAATACATCGGGGAGACGGGTAGGCCACTGCGTCTCAGAATTAAGGAACACATGGACGGGATGCGCAACATAAGAATGTCAACTCCGCTGGGCACGCATCGAAAGCTGCACCACGAAGAAGAGTTCGATATTTCGGTGTCGATTCTGGAGCGAGAAACAGAGGCAGCAGCTCGTAAAACTTTAAAAGCCGGATGGATCCTTACCAGGAATCCAAAAATGAATAGAAAGGAAGAGTGTGTTGCTATAATGAAGGAACTCGCACCATTTATGGAATTATGCGGGTTTTGATATAAGAACATCATCTATACTCACGTTAGCTCATTAATCATTTAACGCCTACGAGTGGTGGTGGAAGTCTCTTGCTCGGCGAAGAGGTGAGCTGTCTACGCGAAATGCAGCTTTGGACTTTACCTTGTGTATGAAACATCTGGTGGATAACTTTCAGTTGCTCCTCGCTTTTTAGACTCTGACGAAGGCGAAAAGCCGAAACGTTAGCCTAATAAACAACTTTATCAATCTTGGCTATATAAGGCTCAACAACTGCACATAATCGTACAGAAAGTGTTCACAAGACTTCTGTTTCATCGTTGTTTCCCTAATTCTGGTTATCCACAGTTGCCTCCTAGCTATGAAAAACGTTTGAACAGACTAAATCTGAAGAGCCTCTCTTATAGACGACATATTCATGACCTCATACTCGCTTTTAGGATTTTCAGGGGTGAAACCAGATTGAAAACCTTCTAAATACTGGGTGTCCAAGGCCAGCCATGGAAGGACCTCTGGTTTTTCTTTATATTCAATGTATTCTAATGGTGGACGTATACAATTCGGTTTACTGAACCATGATTTTTTTTAATCGAGTACAAAAGTTGCTCCAAAAACTACCTTGTGAATATCTAGCCTGTAGAGATAGTAAATCATTCAAACGTGAACTTAGAAAAAAGAATTTGAATGAAATGCTTCAGGTTGATATGGATTCCTGATTCAACTATTTTTGGTCACTTTGGTTTTGCTGCATTTGGTTCGGCCCCTCAGTTCAATTCGCGTTCAATTTCAGCCGGTCCTGACTTGCAACTACGACTACGTCTTCTTCTTTAGTTGTGCACGAAGCTCATTTGTATTTGCATTGATATCGTTTATGCCGGATAGTAGACTTAACAGAGATAGACTGCCTTTTGCAGTGCTAGTTTGTTACTAACTTGATTACTGTTTCACTAGTCACCTAAGCAACCAGTCCCATTCTTAGGGATTCGTATCACCTCATAGTCTACCGGAGCTCAGGTCCTGATATTTGCTGATTACAACTTCAGAGCTGGTAGGTATCTAATACTACCACAAATAGAATTTTGCCCTCTTCTGTCCTCTTCTATTGATTCTCATCGGTCTAGTCAGCTAGCTTTACCCGCGAGCTCGCTAACACCCAAAATTGGGTTCATCATGGGTATCGAAGAAGGCAGGATTCTCTAGAATCCTTTCTGCCATCTGTTTCTTGCTTCGTCTATTCGGCTAGTTAGTGTGGGACTATGGACTTCGTCTTACTTTCCATTAGTGTATCTCAGTAAACTTCTCTGTTTACTAGTCTGAGGTCTGGCTGCTTTTTCTACTTTGTTTTTTGAATGTGTTTGCTTTTTCTTCTTTACGGCACACCTTGAGTGTACTCATAAATAAATAAAATTTTAGGTCATTCCGAAAGTAATTTCGCTTTTTTCAAACGGGCGCCACATTTGATGGAAGAAAGGTTTCTAAGAGATCTTGGAAGCATTCAATGCAGAATTTCATTCTCTTTCTAACGGTTATGAAAAAGTTGCAAAACATCCAATGAGCTTTCAGAAAATAACCAAAGTCTGCGACCCATGCTTTTTGAGATGGTCAAGTTTCGCGATTTTTTCAAACTTTCATATCAGTCCTTAGAAGGAGCTCAAGTAACGGTTCGATAGAGTAAACCTTACAGAATACAGTACTACTTTTTCTCTTTCTCGCAGCTCGCCTTAATTTTTTAAAAGATTTTTTAACAGAACCATTGGATTTTGGCAGGCCCTCCTCAGCCATAATCGCATCAAACATCATAATTTTTCGTAATTTGAGACTACCAAGATGGTATTATGAGCTAGCATTAATTTTACAAGGCAGGTGAGGGTTTACGGGTTCGAAATATCAAATTTCGAGTTTTTCGGATACAGCCTGGGGCTCGCTAAAAAAAATGAGTTATGATGATTTCTCCCCGGAAACTAAACGAATCGGAAACAGAAAACATCTGTTAGAAAGAGGAG